TATCACAGTTACAACCATAACTTGGGTATGCACATGAGTTGGTCATCCCGCATGCGCACTTACCACTGCCAGGTGATGCTCCACCCCAGTACGTCATCTGACTAGAATCGCGTGACACCCACCAGGCATATACTCCGTAACTAGTTAACATCACTGAACCATAGCACTCATACTTGATAAACTGCTCACAGTGTGATGAGACTCTGGTGAGACTCGCCAGCTTTGAAAAACTCGCTCCTGTGTAATGAATGTCACGTGAGTAACTACCACGACCGGTATACCCATTCCCATTCACGTACGTTCTGCTCTCACTGTCGTGACTGATAACTGTCACGCCAACTCCATTCTTGTCACTCATGTCACAATAAACTGTAAATGGTGTCAGGCCTCCCGCGGCATCTGAGTCAATGGCGTAATTGCCGCTTGCACTGCTGACGTATTTTCTTATTAAAGAGCAACTGGAAGGTGTAATAACTGGAGAATTGACTTTGACTTTAGCTTCTATGGTTGTCAAAGCATTAGTCGCTCTACAGGTGTAAGATCCTTCGTGTGATTTCTTGATGTTCCTTATAAGCAGTGTTCCATTCTGTAGAACATTGGACTCTACAGGAAGTGAAAACTTACCATCCTTGGCCCAGGCGATTGTTGTTCTCAGGTCACTCTCGGCCACACATGGTAGATGAACACTTGAACCAAACGCAGAGGGCGTCACTTCAAGAGGAGGACGAACTTTGAATTTCAGGGGAGGAAATATCACGAGTTGAGCCGTGTCTGTTGCTGATCCCAGAATATTCTCCGCCTTACAAATGTATGTTCCACCGTCTTTTCTTGTCACACTGTGTATTGTCATGGTTCCATTCAAAACTTCAGTTCTGTTTTCAGGCAAACTACCAACTGACTTCGACCACGTGATACGGGGAAGCGGCTGAGCAGTCGCAGTGCAGGCGATGGTGACGTTTTGTTTTTCTTCAGCCATCAATCCATTCGATGAAAATAAAAGTTGAGGAGGAACTGTCGAGAAATGAAAAGTTATGATTATTCGGTCAAGGTATAGGTTATGTTACGTTTTTTGTCTCCGGTTTAGTATTCAAGAATGAGACTGACTAAAGTCTGACTTTAGAAAAAAAGGCTCAGTTGTTCAAAGTGTTGATAACGCTAACCAGTTGATAAATGGTGATCCAGTAGATAAATGTTGACAAAAGAATCTACGCTTCCACTAAGTAGCGATTTATCCGATAAATAACAGATATCCTCATATTATTTTTATTATCAATCTTAAGATTTATCTTTCCAATGTGCCTGTTAGACAGCATCAGATTCTGCCTCTAAACAGCCAAATCATAAAATAAATCTACTTACACTGAACATTTAATTTCGCCGAGGCATTGACTTCTCCCAGCAAATTCTCCGCTCTGCAGCTATAAACACCGTCGTCTCCAGGTCTAACGTCCTTCACAATCAGA